GTGTGCAGGATACCATGCATCTAGGGTTAAAATTTCGCAACCGAATTCTAAACTCATCCCTAGTCATCAAAATGGGAAACAGTGTGGTTTCGACCACCCATATCAAAATTCTATTGAATAGCGTAGACAAAGAAATCCACGGACTTGTAATGTCCGACCTATACCCTCAAGATAAGCAGAAATACGCATCGCTAGAGAAAATTATGCACAATCGCGTCATTGCTGCGCTTGAAACTTTCGTGCCAGATTGCAGAGGTACCGTAATCTATCTTAAATTGTGTAGACAAATAACATCTTGCTTCTTGGACGAGAATATGGCAACAATTGAGAGAATTTATAAAATCTGGAATGCGTTATACTTTTTACGCTGTTGGCGAGATTCGGTAAAAAAATCCAAAAGTCATACACTAGCAGATAATTTTATTTCGTACAACGCATATGTTTGTGCAGAGATAAATGCACACGCTTTGGTCGACTTGACGATAAAACTGCGAAATTCCCCCGATATGTTCATAACCACCAGTTTTGCCAGTCAACCATGTGAAAGTGTGTTTCGACATATGAGATCTATGGGCACACAAAATTTCACTAAAATAAATTTCAACATGTACGAACTTCTACATCTTACAGCAAGAGTGGAATTGATGAATAGGATCGCATCTTCGTATCCGAATATTGAATTTCCGAGGATGAAATCATCAGTACATCAGCAAACATGTGAACAGACATCACAAGAGTTACCTACAGAGTCTAGTACAGAGTTGCCATCCAATGAAGAAATCATGGATACTTTGAAAAGAGCACTTCAAGATGCGTTGAAAATAGCTGAATCAGTTGGTATAAAGTCAAATGAAGATGATATTGCTGATTATACATTTGAACCAAATGACAATCTATTGGATGACCTGATAGAAATGGAAGAGGAAGAAGGAAGTATCGATTTTCCAGATCCTGACGCTATGGATGATCTGGACGAAAGTCTAGATGAAAGCGAATCACATCGAAACGTCGAGTATATAGATGATGATGGGACAGTCAAGAGCATACCAAAAGGAAGATTAATATGGTTGTTAACAGAATCAGATGGCAAATTAAGTAGCGATCGTTTAAAAAGGGTGCAAGGCCCTTCACCGGTAGGTCCTTTTCCAAAGAGAATAAAACCAAGTTCACCCAGTGTTAGTATTTTTAAATCAAATCAAGTGCAAATTGGCCAGTGGGTAATTTTCAGAATGGTTTCCAATTTGATCATAAATTCATTTATAGATAGTGAATTAAACGACTACATAATTGGTTTCGTAACTGGATTTAGGATCAACCGTCGAAAGCAATTCAGGTTTAATGCAGTTCCCATTGGCGAAATTAAAGATAAAAAAAAAGAACAAAAAATAAGGTTGAATCTTGGAATTAATTTTGATATTGAAAATATCGAAGTGTTAGCTATTTTCTATCAGTGTTATGAAAATGGATGTCTTCGTCCAATAAGCGATCAAGATAATGAAAAATTCAAGGAAAAATTCACATTAAAACTTAAAAACTATTTTGCTACCATGAATGATCCTATTACGAAAACCGACGATGACGGAATTGCTTATTTTTTACCATGTGAATATGCCCAATTGAAGAAAATAATTGTAGAATTTGATTCTGAATCCCTATCTGAACCCAGGTTTGTGTCACCCAGTGAGCTACCTTCAACTTCAACTCAAAATAGTTCATGAAACAGAAAAAATAAGCAAAAAATATACGAAACGGACGAAAAAAATACTAGAAAAAATATTTTTTAAACACGAAATCGAACTCAAGGTTGTTGAGACTTAAATTTGTCATCTAGTTTGTCATAGTGAGAATAATAAATTTATATTCATTTTCAGTAATGTAGCATGTGTATTTTTCTAAATAAAAACTTTGGCACCGAGATTTAAATGAAAGGTAGTCACCTAAGGACATGACGTAAAAGTGTGCGGTTCCAGTTGGTTACCGTGAAAATCAACACACTAGTCCTAGCACTAGTCAACACATTCACAAGGAGATTCATTCCATTTTCGATAGATGGTATTGTAACCAATAGGCCTAGCATCAGCACCAAATGAACTCACATTGAGAACCACGAGATTTAAATGAAAGGTAGTCACCTAAGGACATGACGTAAAAATGTGCGGTTCCAGTTGGTTACCGTGAACGTCAACACATTCACAAGGAGTTTCACTAGGAGTTTCATTTAATCCTCACCAGAGGGTATTTTGCGCACTCAATAGTCCCAGCAATAGACTACAATATATGTTTATTCCATATTTTTGACATGTTCATCTAGATGTGTGAAAAGTGAAAGATTTTGAAGCAATTTATTTAGGCAAAAACTGAGAAAAATTTGATAACTAGCTAAATAATTAGCTGAATAAGGTGAGAAAGAAACATGAATTCTTTTTGGACACACTATTACTAGAGGCATTACCTAATAACAAATGATTTTCACAATACAGGTATTGGTGATTTGTCGTCGTTGGTGATTTGGCGTAGCAAAATCTGGTGCAAAACTATGGAAGTAGCAGACAAAGAAGCTAGCAAAGAAGTTGCTATTGAAGAAGCACCAGCGGTTGGAATTGATTGGGGTACCACTAACTCATGTTTAGCAATCTGGGAAAATGGAAAGGTGGTCGTTGTTCCAAACTCAAGTGGCGAAACTACAACTCCATCAGTAGTTCGGTTTGGATCGCATGGCTATTGTGTCGGTAATAGAGGAGACATCGGCGAAGTTTCAATTTGTAGCGAAATATTCAATTCGAAACGCATCTTGGGAACCAATTTTAAAGAAGCGAAGGCCATGACGGAAAATTCGCCTTTAATTTTGGTCGATGATGGCAAAAATCGACCGAAATATGAAGTTGATTTCAAAGGGGAAAAATACAGTGTCTACCCCGAGCAAATTGCGGCTTTAATTTTGCGAAAATTAAAACAAGATGCCGAAATTTATTTGAGGAAAGCCGTCAAAAAGGCTGTGTTGACTATTCCAGCCTACTTTAGCGATTCTCAAAAACAGTCGATCAAAGTAGCGGCAGAATTAGCTAACATCGAAGTTCTGAAAATTATTCCCGAGCCAGTGGCAGCGATCCTTTGTTTTGCAAAAAACACTTGCCCCACCGAAGAACGAAATGTGCTCGTATACGATTTAGGTGATTTTTCTAAAAACTATTTCAAAAATTTTGAGGATTACAACAACTTACTAGACAACTTATTGATAACAAATAAACATTTTCAACAGGTGGTGGTACATTCGATGTGTCAATAGTCAATATCGATACAATTGGCTTCTATGAAACACGTGCTACTGGAGGCAACACATGCTTGGGAGGAATCAATTTTGATAATGCTTTGTATGAGTATTGTATGAAAGAACTGAAAAAGGACTTGTTCGATATTTCGGAACAAAGCGCAGACATAAGGCAGTCTTTATACCAAAAATGCCAAATGGTGAAAACGGAGCTATCAACACAAGAATATTCCGATGTGAATATCAAATGCGGAGTGGATGAATATGTTGTGCCGATATCCCGAAAACTATACGAGAGCTTGATTGTGGAAGAAGTCAAGGAAACCATCGAATGCCTAAAATTTGCAATTACGGATGCTGGTATGGAAGAAAGCGAGATTAGCGAGATTGCCTTAGTTGGCGGTTCGACTTTGACTCCATTAATTCGGACTTCGTTAGTGAACAGTTTTGGCGATAAATTGAACACATCGGCCAAACCACACGAAGCAGGTACTTCTATTCAACTATATTTCCAATCTAGTTTCCATTGAAAGTTTTAAATTGCAATTTTGATATCAGTATTATGTTTTTATCGATTCAGTTGCAATCGGAGCAGCTGTTTTAGCCGCATCCTTGGAGAAGAGAGACGGACTAACTCCTTTGATAGTACGAAATTCAACGCCATTATCGATTGGGGTGTTATCCAAAGGCAAAATAAACAAAGTGGTCACAAGAAACACTGTTTATCCTAACATAATTAAGTGTAAAGGGAAAACAATGTTAGATAACCAGAAGAAGTGTTATATCGGCATCTACGAGGGAGAGCATGATCACCCGGCGCACAATAAAAAATTGGGATCAATGAGTTTGGAGGGAATTCAGATTGCTCCTGCGGGTACATTAAACCAAAAAAAAATTTGTTTGAACATTCACCTAGTCATTTACATTGAAAATGATTTACAAAAATAGGCTAGAAAATAGGAGACTAAATATCTATATTTAAAATGCTAGTTAAAATGGGTGCTTCAGTCGATATCTAGGTCGATATGCGCAAATGTTGTCGCTTCCAGTATACAATCTAGTATACAGTTCTTTGAATTGAAATACTTTATCGTTTCTCAAAATGAACTTTCGCCTTTAGAAAACCTAGTATTGTAGAAAACAAATCGACATTATTGATGCCCACAGCCTTATTTACTAGCTTATCTAGGTGTGTTCATAAATCATTCTCCGACTTATTTGATGAAATGATTCCCCATTTTTCTTTGGTATTTCTACATCAATAATTTTAAATATCACCTTATTAGGTATTGCAAAGATAGACATCGAGTTCAAAATAGATTCGAATGGCGAACTAACGGTCAAGGCGATTGACCCAAAAACGAATGCGACAGAATCGATCGTAATACAAAAACCGCATACATTTACGAAGGAGGAAATCAAAATGATGTCTGATGACCTCATTGGATTGGACTCAAACAAGAAGGCAAAACGTTATTCGACCAAAAACGCTAGTAAAAACGTTTCACAAGTTGACCTAGAAGCTAGCCAAGAAGTTGACGAATGTAAGATGCGATCGGTGTACGGCTCACTTGGAAATACGGCCTACCGACCAATTGACCTATCAATTGATGTCCCAAAGGAACTAGAGCTTAATGAAAATGTGTAGATTTAAGTTGAAATCAAATAAAAATCAAAATCCAAATTTTTCCGCTCTACAGAAATTGGTCTTTATTGTTTATTTTTGTTTATATTAATTTAGATATAAATTCTCGATTATTTCCAAACGATTCGGTTCCTAAAAAATGAAAAATTATTATTTTAATGAAAGAAAAAGAAAAAACAATATAAAAAATGAAAATAATAATCAGATTCTATTGTATTATTGGCTCACAAATTTCACATTTGCAGACGAAGCCCCGCTCTGATTTCAATATTTCGTTTCTTTTAGCGGCTGACAATTCACCTAGTCTTTTTTCACTAGTTTTTTCATAATTGATGAAAAGCTGATTTCCCTTTTCAATTGGCCGGCTCGTCATACCAATTAGTTGTCTTTTTGACATGCTTTTTGATGAGCCTTTTGAAAAGACCAGGTCCAAATTAGAGGCACATGCATGATTTAGTAAAGAAGTAACGTTGGCCATATACATTAAATCCTCATCTCCAAATGCGTTAGTTCGGCAAATCAGAGCATGATGCATTGTCAAATGCATGAGGAAAAGTTTCTTATCGTGGGTGTCAAATAAGCAGCTGACTTTTGGCAAATTATTCACATACATATAAGCCATGTTAGCCACCGTTGAACCAAGAGGATATGGTGCCGATGTTGAAAGTTTGAAGAAGAAATGATACTTTGACTCGGGATCTCTCATTGATGTCGGTAATGTTTCGGGTCTTTCGAGCAATGCAGCCTCAACAAACTGCATCAGACTGTCCACGTTGGGAAAAGTGGTGATGGCGAACAAAAGTGATTTGATCAGAAATCTATCTGATACTTGTAGATTCGGGAAAAACGTACCACACTCGAAATTATGAGTTTTACACTTATTTATGCAATCAACGCCGCAAAACATAATATCGGGGCAGTTTGGACAGGCGATACAATTCATGCATATCTTTGAGCATGAATGACATTCCCATGGATTATCCGCGACTCGAAGAATGTCTTCCACCAGAACAACTTTATCAGCCGGAATGTCTTGCTTTGCAGCCAAATGACGACCGAATTCCTCGTTGTATTTTATGTCGACGACATTTGCCATGCACGGAAAATTCTTGTCAGCTATGTAACTTAGTTTTGGTTTCGATTCCTCCTTACGTTTAATAATTGACATCAGCTTCAACGTATCTTTTTTACGTTGTTCCAACTTCGGTAGCAAGTGAGCGGGTAACTTAGCTCTAATGGCAAGATCAATGTCGATCAAGACTTCATTATACATATGAACGCGGAAGAGACATGCTGATCTGTTTGAATATGCTAATGCAACATTTTCTGTTCCAACTTCAGCAAAACACAAGCTCTTGTTGTAGCAAATTGCTGCTTCCTCCCATTTTTGTTGACCAAACAGTGTGTTTCCTTTCAAGCGCCATTCGGTCGATTGTTGATTGTCCTTCTGAATTTGTGGCAATTCGCCTAATTCCATGGAATGCATTAACTTCTCGATGGAATCGAGCTCGTTCAAGCTAGCGTTCAAGCACATTAGAGGTGTGAACAGATCGACGTATCCATGTCCAGTTTTCCCGGTGTCTTTCTTCCATAAATTGTCCATTTTTCCTAAGAAACATAAAAATCATTTTTGTAGCGGTAACAATCCGTAGAATAATCCGAGCAACAATCGATTTTAATTTCTAGTTTAATTTAGTACTTACAAAAGGGGTGTATTTTCTTTTCCAAAATGCTAAACAAAATATTTGCTTTTTCTTCACAAAATTTCTTTCAAAATGAATTTCATAATTATTGTACACTCAAGTGAATGCCTAGATTTCGCTATCTGTCAAAAAAAATGCATAAAAAGTATGACTTTTCGTTTGACTGTTAATTCTAACAGATTCCAGCAGATTATAACAGATCGGTAATGCAGGCAAATCATTATTGAAACTTCTAATGGAAATGAACCTTTATTTGCTCGAATTGAGAGAAATCTATTGAATTGAAGAAATTTAATTTAAATTTATTGAAACGACTTCAGTTTTTGAGTGTGCTATGCCCCTAGTCTAAAATCGTGCATTCAAAACCCCAAGGCGTGCAGCTATCACCAAAATAGCATGTTGCAATTTACTTTTGAAATGTACCTCACATTAGTTCAAATGAAAGCCGTCATGTAATCATACGAACAGCGCTCAAATCGTTTTGTAGAATTTTCATACAAAATGACAGTGAGGCACTTTTGCAACATGCTATTTGTTGTACTGTGAATCAAATGATCAGTATTTGAATTCCATCGTAAAACGTTTTAATTCTAATATATGAAAACTAATTAATGAATTCCATAATTAAATAAAGTATTTTATTACTCCGCTTTTCATTGCATTGAATTAAATCATTACTCAAATGAAAATCTAAAAACCTTGAATTCAATTATCATTCAATCTTAATAAAGAAAAAGTCTTAATGTAGATGAGCCATGTAAAATGACATGTAACGACAGATGGCAGTTTGACAGCTATCGATCACCACTACAGTTGAAAGATATTAGCTCTTAAGTACGAAAATGCATGTTGCAGTCGCCATTTTCGGTCAGCAATCGTAGCAAATCATTAAAGAAGATTAACTTTTGTGATATAAACGTCCTGAAATCAAAGGAATTCGATTTAATTTGGAAAATTGACGATTTTAGTTGGCTTAAAAGGAAAATCACCGTGTTTTTGTGAATCGTGTTATCCTTTCCTACGAAAGGTGAGTGATTTTTGTTGTTTTATAAAAAATTTAAGTGAATCTTGTTGTTTTTGTTGTAGACAAGAAAATATCATCTGAATAAACTGAACATCAAACTTGTTTGTGGCAAAAAGTGAAATAAATAAAGAAAATTATTCTGTTTCGATTTTGGAGTGTTAATTAAATGTTCATTCAATTGTTTCAGGTTTTTCACGCACAGAATGTCGAATCGAAAATCCAGATCG